CGGACATCAAAAACATCGACCCATACGAGCTCCCTGCAGCGGAATGGCACAGAAACCTGGACCATTTACCTCCGTGCACATACATGGACATAGTAAACTACCTATTACCTTATTATTTATGTTATAATTTATTTTATTATGTTGTGCATGTTTACATGCTGGAAACAGTACTTTGAATGCACACGTTGTTTTGCAGTGTTTTGTGTCCCTTTGCACTAAGAAAAGTATGACTCTTATGATCATTTTTGCCTATGCTGTGCATGTTTACATGCTGGAAACAGTACTTTGAATGCACGTTGTTTAGCAGTGTTTTGTGTCCCTTTGCACTAAGAAAAGTATGACTCTTATTATCATTTTTACCTATGTTGGGCATGTTTACATGCTGGAAACAGTACTTTGACTGCACACGTTTGTAACAAAAAAAATATTAATTTCTCAATAAATATTGGTAAACCATATCAAGTTGTTTCATGCATTTATTTAAAAATAAAAGATACAGTAAAGAATAAGGTACTCAAACAACACTTTTGCACATGTTCGTTAAGGCACAGCAAACAATGACAATCTTATCCAAAGGCATTAGGTTTTCACCCTCACATTTGACAAGCATGTGCACAGGTACAGTTGAGTGTAAGAATTTGAATTTGTTGCGCACAACACCGATCACCCTCTCCACGTGAATTCTGAGATGTGCTATGGCCCTAGTCTCCTCCACATCTTTCGCCTCAAGCTGAGCACGACCCCTGGTGAATGTAGGTATTTTCACTTCAGCACACATCATGCCCACATGTTCTCTTATATTAAAGCCTCTATCTGCCAGCACAATGTCACCTGGTAACAGCTTGTTCAGGAAACCACTTTGCTCGGTTATATGCTTGTCGCTTGTGCGCCCACCCCACCCGTTCGATATGAAGGAAATTACACCCTGGGGCGTGATCACGATTAGGTATTTCATAGTGTATGCGTGTTTGTATTGAGAAAAAGTCTGTGCCCTTGCTAGTACATTGGAAGGTTTCTCGATGAACACCTCGAAGCAGTCCACAATGGCAGCCACATTGTTCCCAAATGACTCCACAAACTGGTGTGGCATACTGGTCAATAAGCATTCCCTACTTGGCCAGTGCACCAATGGACACAGCTGTGCGTACATCACACCAAGGGTATGGTGAAAGGCATCGGCGACTGTTGTCCTATGTACTCTAAACAGATGGCTGAGGTGCTGTATTGGAAGGTCCAGTCTGAGGCGCATTAAAGTCAATAGGACAAGCTGGAAGGGTGAGAGCTTCTTCATTCTACCTTGAGGCAGATCTGGAGTTAGGTAGAGTAGAAGTGTCTGGAACAATGCAAAGTTTGGAAGCCCCGTGTAATACTTCACTGTGTTATCATCACCACTCAGAAAGTTCTCATTCATCCGGTACGTATCAAGCTCACGCTTCAGCTGTCTGTTTTCTTCAAGAAGATTGTTGATAACATCTCGTCTAGATGTGCAGAGTCCACATTCCATGTCCGGGTCAGCTGGCGGCTGGTCTAGGGCTGGCGGCGGCGGCGGCCTGCGGCTGGTCTAGGGCTGGCGGCGGCGGCGCCTGCGGCTGGTCTAGGGCTGGTGGCGGCGGCGCCTGCGGCTGGTCTAGGGCTGGTGGCGGCGGCGCCTGCGGCTGGTCTAGGGCTGGTGGCGGCGGCGCCTGCGGCTGGTCTAGGGCTGGTGGCGGCGGCGCCTGCGGCTGGTCTAGGGCTGGTGGCGGCTGCAGCTGGTCTAGGGCTGGTGGCGGCTGCAGCTGGTCTAGGGCTGGTGGCGGCTGCAGCTGGTCTAGGGCTGGTGGCGGCTGCAGCTGGTCTAGGGCTGGAGGCGGCGGCGCCTGCGGCTGGTGTTGGGCTGGAGGTGGCTGCCGCTCCAGTGGCAGGGACCTGCGCCTTACTTGCCGCTGATATCTCGCTTCATCTGTTTTTTGTACATCATTGTGGCCTAACAACAGGGATGGTGTCCAGTCAGGGTGGTTCTCCAACATCTCATATGCTGGTTTACCTACACGAGAATAATAACAACATATAATTAATATAATAATTTGCACAATCTATGTAATCAATGCTTTAAACTGGCAACTATGTCATGAACAGCATCTCAAGTACTTTTTAGGTCACCTCATAATGTCATATGAAGGTTTATGTACAACAGAATAATTAGATTATGTGTACAATCTATGTAATCTATGCTTTACACTGGCAAAGACCTCGCAGAACACGTGCTAAGTAAGAAACAGCCTGAGAGGGTAACAAAGACACAGAGACAAAGGCACTACAGAAACCATAATAACATATGCTAACCTACACTTCCTAGCTTTAAGAGACAACTACATAAATACATTTTTAGAGAACGTACCAGAGTGAAAATGCAGAGAACACACTCTCGTCAACAGGGGTGTGTGATCGAAAGTAAGGTCCTTTCTTCTAATTGCAGCCAACCAAGCAATCCGACGTCTCCTTGTCAGGTCAGAGAATTGCTCCCCTTGATGCTTTTTCCATTTCGGTAACCTAAAAAACTGTATCCCGTTGTTACTAGGTTTTCCATATCCATCGTGGGAGGTATTGGAGCAGTTTTTAACGCAGCAGTTATTTCCAGGCATGATAAAACAGTGCAGAATAGCAAGAACCTCCGCTACTACCGCGTTCACAACACACGTAAACAAACTGTACTGCCGCCACCGGTGCGCAGCCAATATGTCGGCAAAGGGGGGATGGCAATAGAGATATCTCACGTGACGTCACGATGCCTCGAACTCGCGGGGCATCCGCCATACTGGAGGACAAGCAAACGCTGTATGATTGTTGCGTGCACCCGGGACCGCATAAACATGTTCAAAATTGTTGCCGTTTTTGGCTGCAGCAAAAGGAGAGACAGGGAAAATAAGTTGTGTTACCGACTGCCAGCCGTCCTTACTTCACACGGCTCAAAAACAGAAGACATCTCAAAGAAACGAGAGAGAAATGGCACAACCATACGCAACAACAAAAAACTAATAGTCCCCAGAGCGCCCGAATATGCTCGGATCATTTCATTTCTGCTAAGTAAAATCAATTTGATGGCGGATTTAGTGTTATTCCGAAACAAACAGAAGTTTAAGGATAAAACATATCTGTCTGACTGCAACGTGGGGTTGCTCCATAGACTGTAGCTTAGCTTGTAGCATAGCTGTTATATATTTGGTCTCACACAGGACCTCACCCGGTTCACAGGGTATCTGACTTACCGAAGGCCAGCAGACATGTGAACGACTGAGCCGTGCTCCAGGGTGCCCCGTACTAGTATTTATTAATAAAATATACGGCTCCTCACAGTAGACGCAGAAAGCTCCATTGATTTGAATGTAATCTCATTATTTCCACTGCAGTGTAGCCACACATAGATCCATGGTGTAACAATAAACACATTAAATGTTAATCGGAGAATACATTATACATATACATTCTTAATACACGTGCACAGAGGTTTTCATAATTTTCTGTTCACGTTTTCATGAAAAAACACTGTTTTAATGCGACAATATGCGACCGCGGTAAACGTGGATGTAACGATAAACATTAATAACACATTTTAGGACGCATTTCCAGAGGATCTGATTCATGAATTTAGGTTGAGTATATTTGGGTCACTAACTGCTGAAGTTTCCAATTCTCTGTTCAGTTTTCATGTAGTTCGAGAGAGTTCTAGTTTTGAACGTTATAGAGAGCTAGCAGGGCTGTTACTCGCCGAGGTTGTCCTCCAGTATGGCTGCCGTGGCTGCTAGTCACGTGACCGTATGGGATCCCTCTATTGTTTCAATCTGCAAAATGAGTTAACCCCTCCTATCTGTAAACGGAGCCAATGGAGCACCTCCAGACCTTACGAAATGTAATTTGTACTATGGGGTGGTATATGACCAGGCTGTAGTGGATAATAACAGTTACACAAAAGTAACGTAGTAAGTTGCTTTAGAGAGTAACTGAGTAAAGTAACAGGTTCATTTTAAAAATAAGTAATGAGTAAAGAGAAAAGTTACTTTTTAAAAGCAACTTAAATTATACCGACTGCTTACACCCTTTTTGTATACGAGTCCCTAGATAACAGGCCAATATATAAAAATACTAATGGTCTCTTCTGAACAAAAGTTCAGAGAAGACCCTTTCTCACTCTTCAAAGGCGGTTTTTACGCTCTCAGTTTGATCCTTGAACAGAAGCTGGGCCACTGAGAGTTCTACTCTCTCTGCTATAGCATATTTTTCACATGTGTGTAATAACCCTTAAAGCATCTTTCATTTAAATAGGCCTTTTAGGCTATTGTTTGTCTGTTTATGAGAAGCTAATTGGTGTTTCGAGAACTGCAGATATATTTTCAAATGAATGGCTTTTTTGTGAACCCAGTGGTATTTACATTTGCAAACATGTATGTGTTCCACAAATTACAGTCTTCCATAGGATCTGGTTTGAATCAACTTTCAAGAATCACATTATTTTTTCTTGTAGCCTAATTCATATTTCACAGTCAGATTTAGTTAGATCTCTTCCGTAAGATGAACTAAAAACTGGGGCAGACATCTAGGGGATATGTGACCAAATGTGAAGAGACAAGAGAATCCATTTGGATCCTCGCGGGACAGTCCAGCATCTGTGAGGCATTGAAGAACATTGCAGAGTTGAAATATTGGAATGGCTTTAAGGAACAGCACTTGATGCTTGCTGTTTTACATGTAGATGCCTGTACGCACAACGCGCATCACAAAGCTGATTTCGTTAGACCAAGAGGACCTTTCTGACCTTAAACCCACTGTCCTCCTCTCACCCAACAAATCCGCCTTCAAGAGCTGTGTTTAGTCTATCCGGATGTGACCGTGCGCTTGGAAAGACTTTTGTAGATGTATGTGTCTATGTCGCACAAAGGGATCAAAGTGACTATTTGTTTTTCCTTTTTCTCGCGGTGACCCATGCGGACGCACACATGAGACCTCTTGAAACTCCATCTGTCGCTATGGCTTTCCATCCTCCGTGCGCCTCCACAACTGGTGCGTTGCCGAGACCGAGCGTTGTGCGCGTCACTCCCCGTTTCTGTGACATCTCTCAGCCGCTGCTGAATCAGAGCTTCCGGGACCCTCTACACGTCCAGTCTCCGGCAGAAGAGCCGAGGGACAACCCCAAGGTCACTCTGGAAGCGGAGAATCTGTGGAAAATGTTTCATGAAATAGAAACTGAGATGGTCATTACTAAATCTGGAAGGTATGAATCAAAAACGTTCATATTTAGTTACAATTAGCATACTACTACTATTAAATAGTTCACTTCAATATAATTAATAGTTCCTGTAAATAATTCACTTTTAAATCATAAAATTGGATTTCACTGATTCAGTTTAGATCAAACCTAATTTGTAATATTTGCTCTGACCTAATTCTATACTAACCCTCGGGTCAAATTGAACCGCCGCAATAATTAAAAGTAGAAGACAAATACCCTAAATTAGGATATAAAAGGGTCTAAATGACTCAGGGCTGGTCAAGTTAGGAATAATCATCGACTAAAAAAAATAGAAATATTTTGGGTATTTTTTAATCACTGTGGCGAGCAATTTGACCCGAGGATAGTAAATGGGTTAAATGAGGCTGCTTTATAATTCAAGTGTATGTTTTGTGTTATAGGAGAATGTTTCCTCCGTTTAAAGTGCGTGTAAAAGGTCTGGATAAATCAGCAAAATACATCTTACTGATGGATATAGTTTCTGTGGATGATTGCCGTTACAAATTCAACAGCTCCCGTTGGACAGTCACAGGGAAAGCTGACCCTGAGATGCCCAAACGCATGTACATCCACCCAGACAGCCCGTCCAGAGGAGACCACTGGATGTCTAAAGCCGTGGCCTTCCACAAACTCAAACTCACTAACAACACTTCAGACAAACATGGATTTGTAAGTTTACAAGAATACACACATTTATAGATGTATAGTTCTATGGTTTTGATTATTATTTGATGTTACTCTTAAAGACAATTCTTAATTCGATGCATAAATACCAGCCCCGGTTCCACATTGTACGAGCCAATAGCATCCTGAAACTTCCCTTCTGCACCTTCCGGACATACATCTTCCCAGAGACGGAGTTTATTGCGGTCACAGCTTATCAAAATGAAATGGTACGACAAACTATAATCAAACCAAGGATCAAAGTCATATGCATATTTGTGTGTTAATGCTGTCTCATGTACATACTTTTGTTTTCATCAGATCACCCAACTTAAAATAGACAACAACCCATTTGCAAAAGGCTTTAGGGAGACAGGAAATGGAAGACGAGAAAAAAAGTTTGATTTTTGTCAATTGTACATCAAACAAAAGGGGAGCACAGAATGAATGTGTGCTAATAGATTGCTTTCTCTCTACAGGAATACATATTGTTTGTCTATTGATGACCCAAATGAGAAGGAAAACAGTGATTCTGACGACTTCCCTGAGCCACTGTCTGAGCCGCTTTACTCTCCTCTGGAAGTTGTTAACGGACCACTATTGTCACTGCACCTTCAACAAGGTAGAAATAATCATTTGAAAACCATACACATTTGAGGTCATGTATACAAATCTGTTTTCCCAGAAGCAAAAAATAATGGCTCTTTAAAAGAAGATGTGGACACTTCGTGGAGTGACACTTCCCGCATTGACGTCATAGATTCATCAACACCAGATGACATATACTTATTGGAAAACAAAGAGAGTGATCCTACTTTTCCGCTTCAGACTGCTTGCTTATTGCAGAATTCACCGTGGAGTCTTCAAACATTAACTTTATCTGACATGCAAAAACACGAGCCTCTAAAGAGGACGGAAACGATCTATGAACCTCGACAGTTGAGTATAGCGCCACAGGATTACCCCACTCCTGTTATAGGACACATGTTTTTATCTCAGACGCTGGGAGATGCAATGACAACGCATAGCAGAATCCATCCATCTCTATACATGTGCCCCGTCCCGCCACATTCTGCCCCCTTCCAGGTATGTTCTTTGGATTCAGCTGTAACCAATATAAGAGAAGATAAGATAAGATAGACTTTATTGATCTCTGTCCAACCATCCATCCATCCATTTTCTTCCCCTTAATCCATTTCTTGGTCGGGGGGGTGGCAGGCAGAGCTGCACCCACCACAGAGCACCAGCCCCTCACTGATCCTCCTGCAGCTGGTGAGTCCAGAGGAGGATGGCTGCTGTCAGTGAGAGTGTAGCCTTGATCTTTCAGCGGGGGCTTCAGGCAAGGTGGGGTTAATTGTCTTGCCCAAGGACACAACGACAGCAGACATCAGTGGGAGTCGGTGGAGAAGGTTTTGTGGTAGGCTTGAACCCACGACCTCCAGGCTCAAAGGCCAATGCTCTACCAACTGGGCAGTTGTGAGATCAACTGTTTATTGATCTCACACTGGAGAAAAGTACATGTCACATTTGGCATGGATAGAATCACTCAGATTGTGCATAAACATTTCTCCATTGTGAGACTAATAAAGTTTATCTTATCTTATTATGTGGTGGGTGGGGGGGGGAATTTTTTTTAAATAAATGTGCAAAAAGCTTATGGCTTGTCTTTGGAAATGTGAAAATGTATATTTTTGTATTTTCTTCAAAACTTAGAACGTTCTATAGAATCAATTCCATATAACGTTGTAAGTTTGATTCAAATTTCACACTCTATTGTATCAAGATTCAACGGCATCCATCCATGCAATAATTGTAACATTTTCAAATTTGTTTGAAAATGTTGTAGTCTGTATCAGGTTGGATAAAATAATAATAGCAATGTGCTTTAGCTTCTCTGTGAGTAGCCTATTGTAAAACAAAATAAATCCTATTGATTCACACAACAGTGATTAATAATTCTGAGTGAAGCATTGTTTATGGAGAAGCCTGTAACAACAATCCCGTCATACATGTGACTCAATGTATTCATGAATTGAATTAAATTAGGATTGCTTTATCATCTGATAGTTCATTTTATGTGGTATCTCAAGAAATTGAACACTTGTTTTGCTCTTTTAAAATACTATTTTCTTCTAACTATAGGCCCTGTCATCAGCAGTACCTTATGGGGAGCTCCACCTGTACCAACCAAGCTTCTGGTCTTCATCTCCTGTGCCTCCAGTTCCTCCCAGTCCAGTGAACCCCTCTCCTCCACAGCATCTCTCTCCTCACAGCTCTCGTTCCATTATGAGACCAAGTCCTTACCATATATCAGCATCTCTCATCTCCAGCACAAACCTACAGAGAGACAGAAAGTAACCTAATCCCCAGCAAAAGCGTTCGCCACTATAAATTTATAAATATGCATGGGGTTTAGAGTTCAGGAAAACATACAGATGTGTTGCTAGTGTCCAGGGATACGAAAGGAGAAAATGTAATAATGTCTTCATACAGACCAGCTCTACTAATATTAGAATTGTCTCTTTGTGTATGTAAAATGTTCACCATGCAGCCCTTTTGAGTACACACAGTCTAGCACATCCATCTAAATAAGTAAGTAAGTAAGTAAGTAATCTTTATTTATATACCGCCTTTCACAGAGCAGAGTCACAAAGCGGTTTTCAATTGTTATTTTTTGGGCATTTGTCCTCTCACTCCACACAGAGATGGGAGCGGGGTAAATAACATCACAATGAACATCACAATGATACTTCACTTTTGTTCTAATAAAGATGTTGTGAAAATGTAACAGTTGTTCTACAAAATATTTCGATTTAGATTATGATAACACGGTCTATAGCCATATAATGTATATATTAGTTTGGATCAAAAAAACAACACTTGAGCTCAATAGTTTGAACATCATTTAAATGGCACCATCTCGTGGACTCTGCGCGTACTACAGCTGCCACAGAGAGACAGTCTATGGTTGAGACTGAGAGTAACCATGGACTGACAAAAGTACATTTGAAGTGAGTCTATAACGGTCTACCCTAACCCTGACAATAGTGAAACCTTTTCCTGACCCCAACCAGCTAAACCTAACCCAGTGAAACTGATCTGATCATTGATCCTGGACTATCAACCTTATGATTACAGATCTTCCATAAATTTGCATTGATATGATATTCCAAAAACATCATGTATGAAAACAGAATTTACATTCTCATTAATCTCTCTAAAATAAGATTAGATCAAATAAATAAATACCGCTCCGGTTTTTATTCTGAATTGTTTGATAACAGGATGTATTAGTGTTGTAGTACATGAATATGGTTCCCGTTCATATAATCTATGATCTACAATAGATCCATGGCATGGATCATGCTCCATCATGCTATGCTCCAATAATATTTACAGTCCGTGGTTCCCAGGCCCCTCCTTTTCCGCGTCGCGCCTTTGTGTCATCCTATCCACACACGGCTCGTGAGCCCTACTCAAGAGTGATTGGCTGTTAAAGACACGTCCTAATGGTCCTATTCCGGGTTTAATAGACAATTTAGCAGTTCTACATTATTATAAATATGAGGATTGTGTGTATTTATATCAATAATCGAGTCTCGGTAAATGTGAAAAATATTACTATATTTGCTCTATGTTTTCCCCGAACATATACGTATAAAGGACCGTTAATAATTAAAACATATTTCATATATACATATTAGCTTGCATCCCCACTAATTTAAAGTCACGGGAGTGTGTCAGAAGAAAAGCATGGCTGTAGGAATCATGGATCTATAATAATAACGGTAGAAATACGGCTTCAGCGGAAGCTCGTGTCAGAGGCCGGTGGCCAGCAGTAACCCCGCTCACATCATCACATCACACCACTCTGCACTCTCTGCTGTGAGGCGTCTGCTCCACGGTCTGCTCCACGGTCTGCTCCACGGTCTGCTCCATGTGAACGCATCAGTGTGACCCGTCATGGAAAATAGAATCCCGTTACATTATTGATCAGCGAAACTACTTTCGTCAGGATTACTTGTCGGCTTTTCTCCACCGGTAAGTCACCGGTTTGTCTGTCATAGTGTCATCCTGAGCGGTGTGTCACAATCTCTGCTGCGGTTTGGCACATGGACTACTGTACGGCGGCATGTCACTTTAGCATGTGCAGTACAGAGCTGTCTTAACATGTTTTGTTCTATTAACTTACGTCTGTGACCAACGCTCGGCTAACAGCTAGCATGTACTCTAATCTGCATGAAGCTTATCTATGTGCTGCACCGGCTGGACTGAACTAGCCGGTGTCTGTCAGGACCTGGTCAGAACCTCCATTGGACCTGGACAGGACCTGCTCAGGACAAGCTAAGATACACATTTGTTACAGCAGTCGAGTAAACATTCGTGTGGTTATTGCAGCGTTTATACTTCCACTTTGAACATTAGTGGTTCTCATTCTCTGAGCATCTTGTTGCAGTGTGCTCGGCTTGTTTTTCTGGTCCCACCAGCAGATATGGTTTGTAAGGTGTGCCTCCTAATACTGTTCATGCTGTTAGATACAACATTGTGTTTGTAAAGAACAACAAAATCGCAGATTTGCATTGCCTTGTGCATTGCCACCTTAAATGTGAATATTTAAATATTTGTATTTGTATACAGTATGTTTTCTGTATATGTTATATGTATGGATGTTGCCATTAAGTAACACAATACTTTAATAATCAAATTACCCTAGTTGGATAAATGTAAAGCATAGCATACATTCCTAATTTGCCTACAATATTAATGTAGTTTTCTGTCAGTATATTTGTGTAACTGACTTCTTTAACTCTGGTTATAATTATATTTTTTCCCCAGTTATTGCTGCCTGTTCTTGTCGTCCAGTAATGGCACAGCAGGACAGAGCTGCCAAGAGGAATCCTGCGATGGCCTTGCTGAACTCTCATTTCATTGTGGGCTCAGTGTCAGAGGAAAACTCTGAGGATGAGTTAAAGACTGATTTACAGCTTGAAGACAAGGATTCTCGTTCCATTTCACCATCATCTGGGAGTTCGGACAGCATTAACGAAATTGGCTTTGATCAAGTTGATCTCCAAAGTCTGAGGTGAGAATTGGAAGATTTTAAATACATTAATATAGACTGTTCAATCCTTCATAATCGTCTTGTTTATGCTTGTGAAAGGAAATGTATCCCTTTGTGTCATAATAATAGTTTATTTCACTTTGAGAGTCTTCAACATGCCTGTAACCCATAAAAGTACTTCACAAAGCAAAGATGTTGTTATAATTAACAGCTTGTATTGCTTCAGTATGACGACATGTAAAAAGACTTGTTAGACAGATTTGTGTTTTATTCACCATGAACACATTAGAAACACTGCTTTTGTATAAGATGACCAAAACAAAGTGTGATATGTTTCACATCTAGCTGAGTAGGTGTTAACTTGCATAGGGGTCCCCAAAGTGATGTCATTATCGGACCATATTGGCCAGCCAGCCATGACACCCCTTTGCCTGACACACCTTCTAACCCACCCACGAGTGGGGGGCGTTGGGAATTCACTCCCCCTAGTGGTTTTAGAGGTGGTGCAGTATTCAAGGACACATGCCCAGGCAAGAAAGCACAGTACTGAAACTATGGCTGTTATTACTAACGTCTCCCCGCTAGTTTTAGTTTATTTTATACATTTTTTAGTTTGTTCGTTTGTACCATTACTCATAAAGTTACTGTTGAACACATTTCCATTTCATATTTCCATTTCAGTGATTCAACTTTGTCAGAGTGAAAACCACTTGTTTTTAAGTCTGCATTAAATCACTGGCCAAAGTTGCATGTATAAGCCAGATCCCTAGACCTCTGAAGCTGTGCATGGCAGGACCTGGTTAGTACTGTGATGGGAGACCTCTGGAAGCACCAGGTGCCACAGTGCCAAACTGTCGTAATGTCCTTAGGCAAGATACTTCATCCACATTGCCTAGATTGGGTCTTGTGTGAATGATTGGTGGTGGTCAGAGGGACTGACGTCACATACTTGTTGCCACATACTTCTGTCAGTGTGCCCCAGTGCAGTTGTGGCTACATTAGTAGTTTATTGCCACTGTTTATTGAGTGAAATGATAATCTCATGTGAAGTGTCTTTGAGTGTTCTGAAAAGTGCTGTATAAAACCTATTATTATTATTATTATTATTATTATTACTTTTGATAATACATTTACTTGTTACAGCCCTAATAAAACATAGCTCGTGTGTTCAAATGTATACATACTATAACTTGGGACTGGGTATAATGACAATATAACAATATTGTTATAACAAGATTATTTCATCTTACAATAAACACACCAAATGTCTTGATACTAAAGAAATGTCCTTCTTATAAACTCATCGTCCTTGGATCACTCCAAGGTAAAATTAGTTCTGACTGTCATATCTGTAGACCTCTAAATTGAAAAAAAAAAAAAACTATAATCTCCAAAGGACAACTTTATAAAAAGAGTAAATTGCATAGCCATACTTTGATGCAATAACAAGCATTTTTGTTTCTATTGTGACTGGATTAAACAAGATGTATCATGGACTACAGAAGCACTTATATGCAGGTAATGCAAGTAATTGTTGTCATTCTTTGTATTGCTCAAAACAGGCCGAGCATGTCCGGTCTTAACCTGGTGAAACCGAGCAGAGATCGTAGACGCATTGATCTACAAAGGGACTTCACTGTTGCTTCCCCTGCTGAATTTGTCACACGCTTTGGTGGCAACAAAGTAATAGAAAAGGTGTGTTATTGCTAGCATTCATGTCTGTTGTATAATTCTATTCTGTAAATATTTAAAATGAATTTACATTGTGCGTAAATGTTGCTTTTAGGTGCTTATTGCCAATAATGGAATTGCAGCTGTGAAGTGTATGAGATCAATTCGAAGATGGGCATATGAGATGTTCCGTAATGAAAGAGCTATTCGTTTTGTGGTGATGGTGACTCCAGAGGATCTTAAAGCTAATGCAGGTGAAAACTGTTTACGAGGCTGATATGGTTTTACGCTATATTATGAACGTATGATAATCATTTACAATATACTATTTACAATACTCTACATATATTAGACATTTTAATTGTTTCCTGCAGAGTATATCAAAATGGCCGACCATTATGTACCAGTGCCTGGAGGGACCAACAACAATAACTATGCCAATGTTGAGCTTATTCTAGACATTGCCAAACGGATACCGGTTCAGGTACAGCATTATTTGTCTTTATACATTACACATCGATTGTATTGGTCAGTTAATATTGTGTATTCTTTTCCTACTAAAAGGCTGTATGGGCTGGCTGGGGCCATGCCTCAGAAAATCCTAAACTTCCGGAACTGCTTCATAAGAATGGCATTGCTTTTATGGGTAATTGTATAATAAATTGATAATATTTTTTCTGCAATATAGTTACAGATTTTTTTTTTTCCAGGTCCTCCAAGTCAGGCGATGTGGGCCCTAGGAGACAAAATAGCTTCTTCCATTGTAGCTCAGACTGCTGGTATCCCAACCCTGCCCTGGAGTGGGACAGGTATTGATTGCCAAACAATATTGCATGGTTTTAATATGCACAAGCTAACACAGATTTATTTTTAGGCCTTACTGTTGAGTGGACTGACAACTGCCAAACGAAAAAGCTCATCAGTGTTCCACATGATCTGTATGAACATGGATGCATTCAGGGTGTTGAGGATGGACTAAAGGTAGAATTTGCATTTTTAATTAGCCACCTTTTCAGATGTAGGCATTGGAGGTCTCAATTAAATTTGTCAAAGATAGATATTTAAGTCACAAGCGGTGATACAAACTCTCACCACCATTTGTCTTCGCCTCCCAAACTCCCTTGTGTCGCTTTCTGTGTCTGTCTGGCTGCCAGTTGGTGGCACTGTAGCACATACAATATAGTATATATTTTAATTATATATTCAGTGGATTCCAGCGTATGTGAAATTCATTTGTAGACTGATCCCCAATAAGTCCAGGGGGGTCAAAATTGTAATTTTGACCCCCCTGGGGTCAAAATTACATTTGATTGTTTCAGCACAATTCATGTGTATTCATTGTCAGGCAGCAGATGCAATTGGATACCCTGTGATGATCAAAGCCTCTGAAGGAGGTGGTGGAAAAGGCATCCGTAAAGTCAACATTGCAGATGATTTCCCGAATATGTTCCGGCAGGTTGGTAAAGTCACTAAATCTTATGCAGTGTTAAATCTTTTGCAGTGTCTTGTGTGTTCTGGAGATTATACACAACTTTAATATTTTTTTCCAGGTCCAAGCTGAAGTTCCAGGATCTCCTATTTTTGTAATGCAGCTCGCTAAACACGCCAGGCATTTGGAAGTACAGATCCTTGCAGATCACTACGGCAATGCCATTTCCTTGTTTGGTCGAGACTGCTCAGTGCAGCGGCGGCACCAAAAAATTATTGAAGAAGCTCCTGCTACAATCGCAATTTCAGATATCTTTGAAGAGATGGAAAAGGTAGGGGTTAAAAGCACCGTTATTCTGTTGGCGCTTGAGATTGCTAAACTTGTTGTTATTGTAGTGTGCAGTGAAGCTGGCTAAGATGGTGGGATATGTAAGCGCGGGTACTGTTGAGTATCTCTACAGTCAGGACGGCAGCTTTTACTTCCTTGAGCTCAACCCTCGTCTTCAGGTTGAACATCCCTGTACTGAGATGGTGGCGGATGTGAATCTGCCTGCTGCACAACTCCAGGTCAGTGTGTTCTCTCTGCTGCTGTCCAAAATCAGTGCGCTTCAGTGCTTCTACTACAAAGCAATGTGGGTCTCTGTGCCCATGGTAACCAGCAGTAGAATGCGTAGAGTTGCTGCTATACATTCTTGAGTCATACTAAAAACTGGTCATGTGATCAGCGCTGCAGTGTTTGGGATTGTGTATATGTAGGTCAGTGGCAACCAAGCTGAAGGGCGCAATGTCCAGGGATGCCATAAGAAAATCCCTTTGTCAGCTTATGATTATTAAGTATCTATTCTTATAGTCTTCTAATTACTTTTTAATTTCCACAAAACATAATTTAATAAACATTAATTATGTTTTAGGAAGAAGTTTGATTTTATGTTGATATTGTTTTTATCATAATTGGAAAATCAGTTCAGGGCGTTCAGTGCAGTGTGGGTGCTACACAGGAGTTGCTCCATGTGAACAACGTTGGGCATGGAACCTACAGTTTCATACAGTTTTGAGGAATTATATATAAAAAAGCATTGATTCATGAAAAAAAATAACTTAACACAGTTGCCTGAGCCTTTACAAAATATGCACTCGTAACCTACTTGGGGAAATCCTACATACTATATTTTTGTATTACTATATTTTGAATAATGAAACTCGTGTGTGAAAATGATTTTATGCAAAGAAGTCCCAGATTTGTTTTTTTCTTTTCCCACTATCTACAACTCCAAGCACAATATATAATAAATTCCTCAATTTATCTTGTCTTTCTCCTTCAGATTTCTATGGGTATCCCTCTTCATCGAATTAAAGATATCCGAATGCTTTATGGGGTCCATCCATGGGGGGACTGTCTTATTGACTTTGAGAGTCTCTCCACTGCACCTTCACCAAGGGGGCATGTCATCGCTGCTCGCATAACAAGTGAAAACCCTGATGAGGTAATTTTGTGTTTTATATTATACTACTTTATAACTTGTTAATGTCTTGTGAGGTCTAACTAAAAGGACAGTGGTGATGATCCAGGACACGCAATATTCAACCACATTATGAACATTTATCAACACTTACGGACATTGGTCATCTGTCCCTTATGAACCAATACCAGTGTTTTTTCTGTTTTATTTCTTGTGTTTGATCTTGTGTTATCTCTGATCCGTGTTGGTGTATTCAAAGGTTGTGTAAAGTCTTCCGAGATCACTACTGTTGGGATTTAGGGTGAAAAAAAGAATAAATTGAGTTGAATTGAATTGATCTCATATCTTTCCACTAACTGAAATATTATTGGGTTACAGGGGTTCAAGCCTAGCTCTGGGACAGTGCAAGAACTCAATTTTCGCAGCAACAAAAATGTATGGGGCTACTTCAGCGTGGCAGCCGCTGGAGGGCTACACGAGTTTGCCGACTCCCAATTCGGACACTGTTTCTCATGGGGAGAGAATCGTGAAGAGGCCATCTCGTGAGTGCAAAGCTCGTTCTCTATTTCTTATTTGGTACATTGCATTGCAGTCTGCCCACTGTGCGTTCCTGTTTCAGTAACATGGTCGTGGCGCTTAAAGAGTTGTCCATTAGAGGAGACTTCAGGACAACAGTTGAATACCTCATCAAGTTACTAGAGACGGACAATTTTCAACAGAACACTATTGACACAGGCTGGCTCGACCGACTCATTTCAGAGAAGATGCAGGTATACTGATGCTCGCAACTCTTTCGTACAAACATAATATACTAAGCTGTATTATTCTTTATTAACAATACTAAAAAGCCAAACAACACACATTGACAACACAGAATTATTACTAAGGGTAATCCAAACCCTAACCCTTTAAATAGTTAATTTTAATGGAGCCAAACATTAACCAGAAGGGTCAAATGTTCATTTATTTGGGAGATTGTGTCATTAAGTATTGTGAAATTGTGTGTGTACTCTGTAATCTAACCCTATTTACTCAAAAAGTCTGATAAATTCTGTCTAATGTCTGAAAATGACTTCACGTTAAGCCTATAAAAAATATACTAATTGATTACTGAAATAATTTGATTAATCAATAGTAATGTGATTAATCATTAAGTTTTTTTCTCCTAACAGAGCTGTAATTACTGAAGAATAACTTGAAAATGCTTAAACATGTTTCCAGGCCTGTTGTGATCCAATTCGGTCCCCTTCAATTCCTTACTTCACACCATTGGAAAATGCAAAGAAGTAGCAGTCACTGGATAGAAGATTAGATGGAGAATATATATTAAATGTTATTCAAATATACGTGAAATGTGTGATTTATAATAGTTTCCCTAGGCTGCATCTGACCAAAACTGGACCTACCCTGAAACTCATGAATTTAAAGCATAAGAACATTTAAAGAGAAATTACTTTACATTCTGCTCTTCTGCAGGCTGAACGACCTGACACTATGCTTGGGATTGTGAGTGGTGCTCTCCATGTCGCGGACGTTAACTTGAGAAATAGCGTGTCCAACTTTTTGCATTCACTCGAACGGTAAAAAACCCCCAACGTTTTCACCTCACACAGAAATGTTAAACTGATGCAGTACGATATAATAACGTCTCCAATGCCACCAGGGGTCAAGTGTTACCCGCCCACACGCTGCTCAACACCGTGGACGTGGAGCTGATCTACGAGGGCATTAAATACGTTTTGACAGTGACGCGCCAGTCTCCAAACTCGTATGTAGTGATTATGAACAACTCCTGCGTGGAGGTGGACGTTCACAGACTCAGTGATGGGGGTCTGCTGCTGTCTTACGATGGCAGCAGCTATACCACCTACATGAAAGAAGAAGTGGACAGGTAAGCAATAAACAAACCACAGTAGTTCATGATACATTTTACCGCTAAGCTGTTATTCATCTTATTATTCTCACTATAGGTATCGAATAACTATTGGAAACAAGACATGTGTTTTTGAGAAAGAGAATGACCCTTCGCTGCTGCGGTCTCCTTCAGCTGGAAAAATCATACAATATACTGTCGAAGATGGTGGCCATGTTTTCTCTGGGCAGTGCTATGCAGAAATAGAGGTTTGAATGACTGCTTACATTGTTAATATAAATGTTTTTTTTGGCTTATACATATGGTTTGGATAGATTAATATACTTTCTTCATTATTTTTAGGTTATGAAAATGGTTATGACCCTAACTGCTTCAGAGTCTGGTTGTATACATTATGTGAAAAGGGCTGGAGCGGCACTGGAGCCTGGTTGTATCATTGCCAAACTACAGCTGGATGACCCAAGCAGAGTTCAGCAGGTAATCTGACAATGTATACAGAAATACATAGAGATACATTTGTAAACTTTATATATTATTGTAGGAAAGGTTCAAATGTTTTGGTTTTACCATAATATAAAAATGTACCTTGCAACTCAATGCAGTCATGGTTACTGTTCTAAAACTGAAGTGCTCAATTGTTTTATTACTATAGTCCAAAATGATATGTGTAATAATGGTTTCAGGGCTATGCAAATTAATTTAGTGTTATTAAGTGAGATTTTAGGGGAGGTTTTTGATGGGGAAAAAATCATTCAAAATAGACTTTTGGTCTAAAATGGAATTCTTGTAGGCCTACATTTTGCATGATGGCCCTACTCTGGGTACCCGGGTCTAAAACCGTGTATGTTGAATGTTGAATGTATAGCATTTTATTGTGCATTCATTTATCTTATGTAGCTTTCAATAGACTATTGAATAGAGCAATGTGACATTCATGACGTGTTGTATTTTATAGGCAGAGCTGCACACCGGGCCCTTACCATCGATCCAGGCAGTAGCTTTAAGAGGAGAAAAGCTTCACAGGGTCTTCCACAACACACTAGATCACTTGGTTCACATTATGAATGGATTTTGTCTGCCTGAGCCTTTTTTTGGTGCCAAGGTTGACTTTTAAAACTGCATAATGTGATAACTTAGTGCTTCATAATTGATTAATTTTGCCATGTACTCCCTTAGTTAAAAGAGTGGGTAGAGCGTCTGATGAAAACAATGCGTGATCCATCTTTGCCACTGTTGGAACTGCAGGACATAATGACCAGTGTGTCGGGGCGCATCCCTCCTGCTGTGGAGAAGTCCATCAAAAAGGAGATGGCTCAGTATGCCAGCAACATTACCTCTGTGCTCTGCCAGTTCCCCAGCCAACAGGTGCAGGGACTTTTGTTTAACAAAAACATCACTAATTTGTTTTCAACAATTACACTTTAACTTCTGTCTGTTATATTTGTTTGGGGTTTGTCCTTTTCAGATTGCAAATATCCTTGACAGCCATGCTGCTACTCTCAACAAAAAATCTGAACGAGAAGTCTTCTTCATGAACACCCAGAGCATTGTCCAACTGGTTCAAAAGTTAGTGTATTTCTTGTATTTGGATTTAGGTTAGCCTGGAGCCTTGTTTGTTTTGGTTCATCTTCCCTATCTTACCACTTGTTATGCACTTGTTGAACAGGTATCGAAGTGGAATCAGAGGCCATATGAAGGCAGTCGTAATGGATTTGCTCAGACAATACTTGAAAGTAGAGATACAGTTTCAAAATGGTATGTTGCTTTACGTGTATTTGATCTATTGTAATTAATGTAGCTTTTTAGGAACTATAACATTGATCCACCACTTGAGGGAGCTGTTGCTAAAGATAATAATGTTGCTTGCAACAGGACACTATGACAAGTGTGTTTTTGTGCTGCGGGAGGAAAACAAAGTTGACATGGCGAATGTGCTAAACTACATCTTCTCTCACGCACAAGTCACCAAAAAGAACCTTCTAGTAACTATGCTAATAGTAAGTGTGGTTTATTTACAATACTTGAAACACACAGCGTGTCTCCAAGTATTTCATGTAACAAATATATTTGTATATAGCTTGTGTTAAAAATAACAACATATTTTCTTTCTATCTCTAGGACCAGCTGTGTGGACGGGATCCCACATTGACTGATGAGCTGATGACCATATTGACTGAACTTACACAACTAAGCAAAACTACCAACGCTAAAGTAGCACTGCGTGCTCGCCAGGTATGGCTAGTTATCAATTGTCACTTAATTTAGAGAAAATGCAACATCAGAAAGTGTTTGTATATCTTATTCAGCAATATTCAATGTGGATGAAGCGCCCACCAGGTTTCACTCAACTTGAACTAATACTTGTGTTCTCTGTAGGTTCTCATAGCTTCACATCTGCCCTCATATGAGCTGCGACACAACCAAGTGGAGTCCATATTCCTGTCAGCCATTGACATGTATGGCCACCAGTTCTGCATTGAGAACCTTCAGGTAAAATGGACTTAGATTTTCATGGTAAAATCATGGTAAAAAAAAAAAAAAAAGTATATATTCTGAACAAGTGTTTCCTTCCAGAAACTGATCTTGTCTGAGACTTCAATCTTTGATGTCCTACCAAACTTTTTCTATCATAGTAATCAGGTGGTAAGGATGGCTGCTCTGGAGGTGAGACTTTTATACATTCACAAAATGATCCATGTTGGAATTAAAACCAATTTAAATGGCAGGTGTATGTGCGCCGGGCCTACATTGCTTATGAGCTCAACAGTGTCCAGCACAGACAGCTGAAGGATAACACCTGCATAGTAGAGTTCCAGTTCATGCTCCCCACATCTCACCCAAACAGGTAATACAATCCATTTCTCAGCACCAGCACACAACTCTCATAGAGTGAGCTGTCAATTTTTCAATCTAAATTAATAGATCCTTTTTAAGTGAACTTCCAAGTACATACATTATCCATAGAAATACTTACAAAGCAACATGTATCCAACAAAATGCATTTTACAGTATACAACTCAGGTGGCCCATCTTCTGCCTGATTATACAAAGACAAAATTTCAATGAAAAACAGTAAGATCTTATCTTTAGTATAAGTCAGGGTTGTGGTGATGCAACCCCACTCACTGTAGAGACGCACAATTTATGCTTTTTCATGAAAATAACAAATACTGATATAGATGATATTTTAATCTGGATTTGTTTTGCAATTGAGTTACATACAAAGGCTTTAAAAACATTAACAATTGAGTTTTAGATGAATTATTATATATTTACAGCTACTGTGTAGCATGTACAGTGGAAACCAGAAGTTTAAACACACACAATGATCATGTTTTACATCACTTATTTGTATCAACATTATTTCTACTGTTTTAATGCCTTTATGTTGAGAAAGTATCATGCTTTTTCAGTGTATGTAATCTTCTGGTTTCCATTGGATGATAATTAAAATGCTTTTTGCTTGTTTTTATTTTTGTGTGTGATGTCTGTTAGTATAAATCTTCTGAAAGTCTTTACAGGAACATATAAGCAAGACAAACGTGACTGCTTATTGCAGTTATGGATTTAATTTGTGATATATTTAATTTCACTTCTGCCAAATGAGGGTTTCGTATGTTTGCATAGGTCTTATTGTGCGTTTTTCTTTGCCCTTGTGTGATGGTAGTTTTTTGTGTGTGTGTGGTCTCTGATTAGTAGTTTAGACACATTCACACCACTTTAATCGAAGCATGCTTTCATTTAACTAAAGTCGAATTATAACAAACAGCATGAGGTTTTGGCATGAATTTACGCATGTTTGAAGGAAACGGTCTTAACATGTGTTTGACAAATCACGTGTACTATCCACTCATAATCCCATCTGCGTTACACCCATTCCCTAATTCCAACTGTCTCCCTCATGTTGCTTGCGACTAACCATGTAGTAACTGATGTTATTTGATTGCAGAGGGAACATCCCCACTCTAAACAGGTATTGTACTGCTCTTTTTATTGCGTAGTTTACTAGCCCTAGTCTAGCCGACAAGCGGGCATGGTCTGTAATACCAAAAAAATCCGTCTTGGCATTGTTTTTGCAAATCTTTTGACTTTTATTTCATTATTCTTAACAAGCTTAGCGTATGGACTTAATGATGTTGACTTGATGTTGTGCAACTTTGAGACCACATGTGTGAATGTTTCATGTTTTTTTTAATGTGATGTGAAATGATTGAATACTCTCGACTCTGACTCGACCGGTGTGATCAATTTTCTACCAGGAAACTTTCTTCAGCTCCGGTCCGGGATTTTATAAGCGCCTTGGAGACGAGGATAGAGGAAGCTAGATCACATGACTTAAACGAACAGAATAATAAATCTAAGGATGAGAATACTGAGAGGAGTGCTGGCCCGGGTTCGGATTCAATGGAAAGGTTTGACCAAACGTTTCAACAAATCTCTTTGGGAATTTCCACGATAGGAACAGAACTGGTCTGGGTGTTGTGTGTGGGTTTGTTGGTGGTGGAGCTGGTGTAGGTCTCACTGCATATCACTAACAAGCCATATTGTTGCTTACTACTCATCCACTCTGGTCTCTACTATTGCTGGACATCCGAACCTCAATCAGTTCAAGAATCCCTCTTGTTCAGTGCAGAAACAAAATTACTCATGCAAAGCTGCAGGGTAAAACTGTTCTGAGGTTCATAAAGTGTTTGCAGCCCGTAGTCATTTTTTATAACGTTCAATAATTAAGAAATGTAATTTGTTTCATAGGATGTCGTTCTCGTCCAATCTCAATCACTACGGCATGGTACACGCGGCCAGTGTGAGTGACGTTCTGCTTGACTCCTCCTTCACTCCTCCATGTCAGCGAATGGGAGCCATGGTTTCGTTCCGCAGCTTCCAGGAGTTCACAAAGTAAGAAAAGTATCTGATGAAGAAATCCTTATATTGCCCATGCTAAAACTGAACTAAAATAAAATCCTTTATAAGGAACATCAAAGATGTGTTGAGCTGCTTTTCCGACTCTCCGCCACCAAGCCCAACCTTTCCTGAGGGAGGCAATCCAGTGCTGTATGGGGAAGAAGACACCAAGGTAAAATAATATAAGTCAAAGCATAAGTTGTGGAATGTCACCAGTTTTCGGTGCCCAACTTCTAATGTACTCTAAAAATGCATTTATATTTATATTTAGAGCATTCAAGATGAGCCCATCCACATCCTGAATGTTGCCATAAAGACTGACAGTGACATAGATGATGATGGTCTGGCAGCTATGTTCCGGGAGTTCACTAATTCAAAGGTAAAGAAACTATTAATAGATTTAACAGATTTTTATTGCAAGCATTTTGTCATCTATCATCTTCATTTCAGAAATCCTTGCTGTTTGAACATGGCATCCGCAGACTGACTTTCCTTGTTGCTCAGAAAGTAAGCCCATTTTAATGTATTTATCTCTCTCTCTTGCATGTCACTATGGCAGCTGCATGTCAAACTGTGTATCCTCAAATTGTGTACTTACTAATTCATAACACTACTTAATGCTGTGAAAACAACACTTTGATTATGTGATGTGAAATTTTGCTTAATTGCCCGTTATCTCTGTATTTTTTCCTGCATGCCTTGCTTTTGGCACACTTTTGCTGACAGGATTTCAGGAAGCAAATCAACTATGAGGTGGACCAAAGATTCCACGTAAGTAGGAGATTAAATTAGAAATAAGAGTTTGTTATGCATATGTCATTTTTTCATACTTTCATTCAGACAGTGAAAAGTAAGTTACCAATACTTGAATATGAGTGGTCATAAAAGCTTATTTTTTTTCTGTGCCTTAGTGATACATTAGTTAGAGTGGCTGGACCTAAATCATGGTGTGCCATGAACAGGGTACAACGCCTAATTTGATCTCTCCAGGTTTGACCCATTGTCCACAAAACACCAACTTGCATTCAAATAATAAGGGCAGGTAATTTAGACCACGTCAGCTTTTGGCACTCCCGTTTCCACCTTTGTAATGATATCCTTTGATTTTTTTTTTTTTTCCCCCTTTGGCAGGGGTTCTCAGTAGGAGCTAATCATGCTCACTTTATGTAGCCTGACTTAATTCTATCGCCTGTTTAATTGAAATAATATGTTTAATCCTAGTTAGTATGTCTTGGTGTTGGCTTCGAGTAGATGAGAGTGGTTGGCCTCAATAAATGGGACATCTTGTCACATAGAGTGCACTGTGAGAAGATGCTGCTGCAAGGATGTGTGTGTGTGTGTGTGTGTGTTTGAGTGGTGATGTTGATTTCAGTGAAATATTTGTGGTAGTATATATAATATATATATATATATATATTAGTTATTGCAAAAGATTGCTTGGTTCTCCAAAAGCAAGAGTAATTTTTTCCTTAGAATTGTATCAAATACATTTTCTGTAGTTGAATGTTACTGAACCGCTTGTGAAAATACTAAATTATGTATAACTTGTTCTAACTTTTTTATTATTCATTCAGAGAGAATTCCCAAAGTTCTTCACATTTCGTGCTAGAGACAAGGTAACCAGACTTTTCATTATGAATATCAGTCATTTATCTTTATGTTGTTGCAACCGATTCAATGAAGTTTTATACTAGTCATGTTCTTGTATATGATTGAGTAATAATACAGCACCTGCACTGGGTCTTTCTCACACAATCTCAATCTGTGCAGACAAAGATGCACACACACTTTAGAAAAATTGTTTACCTTCAGCACACTCTGTTCCATAACGCCAGAACTTCTCCGACTGTCTTCACTATTTCTACTCTCTTTGACCTGCCATAGAAAAAGTAATATTTTACATTTTTGCTTGTTTTCAAGTCAAATGCTAAATTCCTATAAATCAGTGAACATTTTGTAATTTTACCATCGCCAAGTTATTTGATTTCTTTATTTGAAATTTAAACTGTAGTTAAGCAAAACCTTGATTATTTATCTCTATATTATTTAAATTCACATTCTCTCAACCAAATGTATTGATTTACAATTTCATTTTTTTCCACAGATGTTTTGGGTATAATGATAAGTAATAATAACAGCTCATGCCAGTAGATGACGAATGGTTATTCAAGTTATTCAAATATAAGATGTTATTAAAAAAAAAATGCTAAGATGTCAAAGTGTACCTATTTTAGAATGAACATACTCGACATATATATGATGCATTTTAATCAACATTTGTCCTTTTTACATTCTAAACTTTTTACGCCCCCAGGCTGTTGAATTTTCATTGTTATCAGTGCCACTAACTATTCTTCCTCTCCGTTACCCCTGATGGCTTCCTGCATTGACACCACAGAAACTCATTAAAGTAATGAACTCTGTAATTATGTTTCCCATTTAAGAGAAATGACTCCCATTAGCAGCTTTCCCAGATTAAGATTTTCCATGATTTCATTTACTTAATAGAAGCTCAGAGGCATATTTCTTGTACTAGAGCAACTTTGCCAAAACCTGATTTGGATGTGAAGCTAATATGTTTACCTTTCTTTTCAGTTTGAAGAGGACAGGATCTATCGTCACTTGGAGCCAGCTCTGGCTTTCCAGTTGGAGCTTAACCGCATGCGTAACTTTGCCCTCACCGCTATCCCGTGTGCCAACCATAAGATGCATTTGTACCTTGGCGCTGCCCGTGTAGAAGCGGGCGCGGAAGTGACTGATTATCGCTTCTTTGTACGAGCCATCATTCGACATTCTGATTTGGTCACAAAGGTTAGTATTGTAACCAATGGAGTCAGATCAATTTAACATTTTATTGTTTAATAAAGATTCTCTATTAATATAAGTTTGTCTTCACCCATGTTTCTCTCATTAGGAAGCCTCTTTTGAGTATCTCCACAATGAAGCAGAGCGGCTGCTACTTGAAGCCATGGATGAACTTGAAGTAGCTTTTAACAACACAACTGTACGGACGGACTGCAACCATATTTTCCTGAATTTTGTGCCCACCGTCATAATGGACCCCTCAAAGGTTTGTGGATACAACTGTATAGAGAATTTCTTAAATTTACCATTAAAGCTGAAACAAAACAAAAAAAAGTCATGTGACAATGTCCTTGATCTAAAATGTTTATTTATTTACTTATTTTTTGAATTTATTCATTTATTTGACAGGGACAGTACAAAAAACATTGTCCCCCACAGGTAACCGATGTCAAGTACACAGGGCTTCTAGCCAAAGGCTAATTTGCAGCCTGTTTGATTCGGTTCTAGTTTTCCCATGCATGCGTTTTTGTTTTGACAAAGGGAGCACTAGTGCTCACTCAATGAGCTCGCAGTATATAAAATGTTTTCCAATACAATCACAACATTTTTCTTAAAGACTTTCTGTTGGGACAAACAATTATGTATTTATGAAACACTAAAACATTAGTTACTCCAGATGTAATCTTAACTGAAAGGTTATAGGGCAAATTGCCTATAGTCGAAGAGAGATGTATATATATTTTCTTTCCCCAATTGTTTTTACTTAGCATATATTATTTTGTGTTCAAGTCTTAAAGTTGGCATCATTTTTCTGCTTCTCGTCAGTCATGTTCACTTGCTGACGTAATAAAAGACATTTTTTTTTTTACTTGAATGTTTTTGTTTCCAGATTGAAGAGTCTGTGCGCTCCATGGTGATGCGATACGGCAGTCGGCTGTGGAAGCTGCGTGTCCTTCAAGCTGAGCTAAAAATCAACATCCGCTTGACGCCAACCGGAAAGCAGATCCCCATCCGTCTGTTTCTGACCAATGAATCGGGCTATTATCTGGACATCAGCCTCTATAAGGAGGTCACTGACTCCCGGACGGGACAGGTGGGGCCCAAAGATGGTCAGGTGGGGCACATTTCAGTATTCATTTGTTTTTGCACTTTTGAAGGACGCAAATGTATCATGTATGAAGTTTACTGTAGTTGATGGCTTTTTGACTAAATTGGTTATTTGTTTTGCTTCATATTCAATCTAAGGATTATAATTGGACCACAAGGATTGTAATATTGTTTTCTTTTTTTTTCTGAACATTGTATAGAAAATAAATCCTAATTTCAACATATGGGGGAATTCAACTGTATTGAAATTGTGAGTGACTTTTATTTGGTTTCTAGATTATGTTTCAAGCATATGGGGATAAGCAAGGTCCTCTCCATGGTATGCTCATCAACACCCCGTATGTGACCAAAGATTTGCTGCAGTCAAAGAGGTTCCAGGCTCAGTCTCTGGGCACTACTTACGTCTATGACTTCCCTGAAATGTTTAGACAGGTAGGTGTCTATTTTAGATCATATGAGTAAATAGAATCACCGGTGTATTACAAGATGCATTTATTTTTGCAGTCTTTAAAAAAGTTGTGGCACGTAACCCAAAATTTTGCACACATACCGAAACCCCCGCTGCCCTCGGAGATGTTGACCTTCACGGAGCTGGTGCTGGATCCTCAAGGGCAACTGGTGCAGATGAACAGACTTCCAGGGGGCAATGAGGTTAGTGATCAGATGCTTTATTTTGATGTTTCCAGTTTCAGCACCAGTCTCACTGTTTTTAATGAGTGCAATTTTCCTTTTCCTCTGTAGGTGGCTCTCTTTCTGTAGTTATTTGTTTGAAAGGCATATGTTTGTGTGATTTACTTTAGTTGCATAGCACAAACAGTAAATCACATAATTTATGGACTGGGAATCCACATAAATGTCACAATGATTTGTAATATACAGTAGTAATATGTATATACAGTACGACCAGATAATCACAGATAACACATGGTTTCTTCTTATGTCTATTTATTTATTGTAAAGTAATTTAACAACCAAATATGTTTGAATTTACTAACTGGATTTTACTGTCATAAAAGAGGCCATAATGTATCCTCCTTATATTTGTCATATTACTTCAGATTGGAATGGTGGCCTGGAGGATGACCCTGCGGACTCCAGAGTATCCTGCGGGCCGTGAGATAATTGTCATAAGCAATGACATCACACACAAGATTGGCTCTTTTGGACCTCAGGAGGATGTGCTGTTTCTGAGAGCGTCAGAAATGGCACGGGAGAGTGGCATTCCTCGTATTTACATTGCAGCAAACAGTGGAGCTCGGATCGGGCTGGCTGAGGAGATACGACACATGTTCCATGTAGCCTGGCAAGATCCTGCTGACCCATATAAGGTCAGTAACATAGGCTGAATTATCATACCATTTATACCTTCCTTCCGTATATAGCATGTATAATCATGAATAGCATTGAGTTTCTGAAAACACAACCCAAATATCTATAGTTCTATACCAACCGACCTTCTAAAAATTATTCTACAGGGATTCAAGTATCTGTATCTAACGCCGCAAGATTACAAAAAGGTTTCCGCTCTGAACTCTGTGCACTGTGAACATGTGGAAGACGAGGGAGAATCTAGGTATGCAGCGTTTAAAGGTCCCATATTACACTTTTCAACTTTTCATGTATGTAGCTGAAAATGTGTTGTTTTGCAGGTACAAGATCACCGACATAATTGGGAAGGATGACGGGCTGGGTGTGGAGAATCTCAAAGGTTCGGGGATGATTGCTGGAGAGTCTTCTCTTGCTTATGAAGAGGTCATTACAATGAACTTGGTAAGATGGCAGACTCAGTACTAATGCACCGCTCTACATGCCTAATCGGATTCCACAGTCACCACTTTCTTTTGATTGTTATTGTTTCCTGTTCTATAGGTCACATGTCGGGCCATAGGGATTGGGGCCTATCTAGTGAGGCTTGGCCAGAGAACTATTCAAGTGGATAATTCACATATCATTCTAACTGGAGCTGGAGCTCTCAACAAGGTAAAATAATATAAGCAGATGCATGGTATGAACATGTCAACAACACATTCTTTTGGTGTTTTGAATATGCTTTAATGTGTGATATACTTACAATTCTTAGTGCCTGCCTAACTTTTTTTGTTTCATCAATATTTTTTGTCCCAACAGATGGTCTTGTTTACATTTTGTGTACAAATCAGAACACAATGTTCTGTATTTATATTATTAGAAAACCTTATCTGCTCTACATACTGATGATTGCCTAAGTTAGGGTTAGGGTTAGGAACTAGTTTTTTATTGCATTAATATTATTACTATTAGGTGTAACAGTTAGGTGCAGCCGGCTTTAACATTACATTACCAAACTTTTCTGGAATCAAACCCATTAAACTTTTAATGTTGAGTCTCTCTGATAGTCCCACTTGATCTTATTTTATCATTCTCATCATTTCCAAATAGAACATCAAAATGGCATTGTTTTTGCCTGATGTATATATATTTGTTAAATTAGTGCAGAAGATGGACAGATGTGCATTTTTGGATTTTGGCACAAATATTGCATAAATGAATGGCTGTACTATAATCCAAAGTATTTCTTGTTGTGGTCTGCTGCGTTCCCCACACCCCACTGCCACTTATAGAGAAATAATTGAAAGCAGAGCATGAAGTTGTATTTACATAGAAATGGAATGACATGCCAGGGGCTACGATGCAGGACATCCATATCATTTGTTTTTAATCAAAATGAGAAGTTTAGCTTAGGCAGATTGTTTTGTGTCTGCCGGTTTCTGTACTGTATCCCTCCTCCACGCTCCACTACGCTCGCCATTCTCTCCCCTTGTCATTGTCAACAAATTCATTCCAAATTAGATGACACATTGTGAGATGGAAAAAATCATGCAGATAGCTCTATGATGACATGCCTATTTGCCAGGAACCCCATTGTTTTTGTGTAGCTCCAATGGTTGACTGGTTATCTGCACCAACGGATACTGACAAGTGTCCACAACTGATGTTTACGGGGAATGGGATTAAACTGGGAACTATTAATCCTATTTGCAATTAAATGACATTATTATGGAGTGTCCTGCCCACAGTAGAAATGCCAAGATTTCAAAATGAATCATTCATCGTTTGTGTTATTCGTGTCTCTCTTTTCATATGCAATTAGATGCAATTTCATAATTAGAAAAAGTGTGTCTTATAGATAACAATGCATATTTTTTATCCAAGAAATTCATATTTGTTTCAAAAAAGTAGATGTGAAAGGCTTGCAACTTTCTTTTATTATTATTATTATTATTATTGATATTATAGTTATTTCAAAAGCCAGATACATTTTACTGCAATTAAGAAAAGTTTTGTTCCCTTTTGAGCAAATTCTTTGAAATTGCATTGTAGCGACATTAGAGGTGTACATTATTTTGAAACATTTTCCAACTGTTTTTGCAATTTAACTTCCTTTGTGGAGTGTCGTTCAAAAGTTAATTTGCTTCATCTTAAAATGTTAACCATATAGACACTCATTACATTACAGACTCATATTTTTTTATTTTGGGGTTTTGACAAGCTGTGAGCAAATTATCCAAATTATAACAAATAATGGCTTATTATATCTCACTTTCCAAGAAATGAGTCGTAAATTATTTTTGCTTTGTAAATTGAATTACAGAAGTAAATGGACTTTTTTGCAAATTTTCCAGTTTCACCTGTATATAAACGAGCAAAAACTACCTCATTCAAAAATCAGCACTAGAAACCTGACCTTTTTAAATCTAAGTATTTGCTGGAAATCAGAATGAATATCGCTGCAATACACATTGCAGTCACATTATCAGTTTATTACAAATAAGAGGCTATTTTAACCAAAAATAAGTATTTATGCAAAGGTCATTTTCAGAGTCCAATGCTATTAACTTGCACTTAATGAACAACTGGGCAGCTGCCACCCCGAGCTCATTATTCCATTAGCTGGTGGAACGTTTCCTATTTTCATGGCGACTGGACAGTAACTACGAGTACAAATACCCCAGTGAGTTACCTACAGTTAGTTCCCCCTCCAGCCCCCCAGCTATGTCCGATTTCTTTCCTTTTTTTTCTCTCCACCCTCTGCTGTGGAATCCTAATGAAGGCAGCCAATGGCCAGAGGCACGAGGGGTATTGTGTATGTCAAGGTGACTGCAATGTTTCTTGGGGCCGCTGGCTTTCTTGACAGCTTTAGGAGAGCGCCCTAGATTTGCAGCCAGATACATAACCATTAATGGTAATAAAGAAAGTAAATGATGGCTGGAAAGGTGAGAGCTGAGGCTGGGGATTGAGCTCCTGTCTGATTTTTATGGCAAGCGTGTCAGGGTCTTGCCACCTGTTCTTATGAAAATAGGGTGGGAAGGTTTTATGGCTGGAGGTTGGCACAGAAGCAGCTTTGAGGGCACAAGAAATTCTGGACTTTTTATGTCCGTGTCATAAAAAAAAATCTTTATTGGCAATGCAGGGAATTTTGTGCAGTATTTAAAGTATTTATTTTGAGTAAGGTAAGGGGAGCAGCTAAATGGTCACTCACGATAGATTTATAAACAGATTCAGAGATGCTTGTGGCTATCTAGGATTGAGAACCGACCTGATTGCATGTATTGACGCTTTTCGAAGAAACATAGTATGCCTTTAGATTACCGCTCCTGCAAATACACCATTTATTCAAAGCTACAATGAACTCTGATAGAAATAAAGCAAACAGAAAAGGCGCATTAAAATGTAACAACAAACGGAAGAAGCGATCAATATGGTATGCATTTGTTTTTTGAGGTTTTAACAGTTGTGTCGCCTGCAGGTGCTGGGCCGACAAGTGTACACATCAAACAACCAGCTCGGTGGGATTCAAATCATGCACAATAACGGCGTGACGCACCATACAGTATGCGACGATTTCGAGGGAGTTTTTGCACTCCTGCAGTGGTTGTCTTATATGCCCTTGGTGCGATTTTAATTCTTCTATATGCATTGTTTGAGAATCACTGCCAAGCTAATATTCTGGTTTTATTGCAGTGTAAAACAAGCCCAGTACCAGTCATCGCTGCCAAAGACCCCATAGATCGGCCTGTGGATTTTGTTCCAACGAAAGCTCCGTATGACCCTCGGTGGATGTTGGCAGGACGTCCAAGCCAAAGTACGTATATCTGTGACGGACAATGGGTTGTGTTCATGTGTAGAATTCTCTTAGTTTGAGGGCTGGTGCCTAGACCAATCACAAAGCATTAGTAGTAGTCACAAACCTGCCATATTATTCTCATGTCTGAAAGTCCGTTCTACAGGCCTACATCATGCAGATATGTTTATGTATTTTCTATCAATCAATCAACCTTTGTTTGTAGAGCGCCTTTCTTGCACAAGGCATCACTAAGCGCCTCACAACCCATATCATATCAGGCATAAATGATAAGCATTAAAATCTTCATAAACATTAAAAAATACAATTACAATACAATTTATTCTTGTAAAGCCCTAGGTCACAACAGAAGTCATCTCAGAGGACTTAACAAAACCATTGAAATCACCAACACAGGTCAGAGAATCAACAGTTAAAACACATGAAAAATATAAAGAAAATGTCCATACATGTTGTAGAATGCTAAAGTGTGCTAAATCTCACAGTTCCCCAAGTGGGGGCCCCACCCCACCGCAGGGTTGCGAAAAGATTTCCATAAAAAACTTGAACCTGGAATAAGCCGGGTTACTCCAAATAAATGAAATGTATGCTTTACATTTCACTCGACAGGAAAAGGTTGTTGAGGTAGGATGGGGGATGTGGGGGGTCACAGGGTAGCGCCGCATTTATCATAGGGGTTGTGGGCAAAAAACTTTTGGGAACCCTTGATTTAGATCACAAGAAGTATTACAAACATAAAAAATAAAATCACACAAGGATTTTAAAAACAAGTAATATAATGTCATCACGTCAAGACATCTTATCGTTTCATTTGGACTGGCCCAGGAATTCCAAGATTGACTACTATACTAATTTACCAGTGATTTTTCAGCTTCCTTCCACCACAATTTTAAACTCTAATGTCCCAGCTTAACTTCTGCTACATCTTAGTGTCATTGGGGTGAGTGAGTGTGACCACGCATGAGGCTAGTTAACATTTCCAGTAGAGATGAGTATAAATGGCTTAATTGAACGGTAACCTCAAAGGCGGGCAGTGTTTGTCGGAGTGTGCAAGCAGAAAAAGAGCTGAACAAGCCCCTTTACAATCATCCATCATGGTGGCTGGCGGGTTACACATTTAAAAGGAAACGTGTTCAGTTTTAAAATAATGCAATGCCACCCCATATATCATTTTATATACAGTGCTTTATGATTTACATTGCCACCTTTTTTGTTTTGTACAGCTCCAAAGGGCTCCTGGCAAACTGGATTTTTTGACTATGGCTCCTTTTTGGAAATAATGCAACCTTGGGCTCAGAGTGTCGTGGTGGGTCGAGCAAGGTACGTTTTTAAAAATCTTTTTATTTTAGTGTATTTGTTTTAAGATCCAGAACCCATTACATTTCATACGTAACAGGCTAGGGGGGATACCGACTGGAGTGGTAGCAGTTGAAACGAGATCTGTGGAGTTGTCCATCCCAGCTGATCCAGCCAACCTGGACTCTGAGGCCAAGGTAAGGGGTTTTGTGCTTCAACTCAACTATGTAACATTTTTGTATATGTTCTGCGACGTGCTGATGCAAGTGTTTTCTTGTGTGTAGATAATTCAGCAGGCTGGGCAAGTGTGGTTCCCTGATTCTGCCTTTAAAACAGCCCAGGCTATTAAGGACTTCAACAGGGAGGGATTACCGCTCATAGTATTTGCTAACTGGAGGGGCTTTTCTGGAGGAATGAAAGGTATTCATCAGAAGTTTGCTTTACCTAGGAACTTTACTGTTTATGTCCTCTAAAATGAGTGAAGAAAGAACAGTTTTCACTATACAACTACCAAATTCTCTTGTAGATATGTATGACCAGGTGCTAAAGTTCGGAGCCTACATAGTGGATGGACTCCGAGAGTATATGCAGCCAGTGCTTGTGTACATCCCTCCACAGGCAGAGCTCAGGGGGGGCTCTTGGGTGGTCATTGACCCGACCATCAACCCTCGGCACATGGAGCTGTATGCAGACAAAGACAGTCGGTGAGTGTGCTTCAGAATTGGATCTAAAAGCTGTTTTGAGTATATTTTAGAAACCAAAATCTTAAAGCTTTGTGTTTTGGAGATAATCCAAGTACTACTTTATTACTGTACATGATGTTTCTTGTTTTCCGTAGAGGAGGGGTGCTGGAGGCAGAGGGAACAGTGGAGATTAAGTTTAGGAGGAAGGATCTTGTGAAAACGATGAGACGAGTCGACCCTATTTATATGAGCCTGGCTGAGCGACTCGGTGAGCCCTCCACTCAATTTGTAATTATGTCTCTTTACAAGTATCTCTGTGGCGTCTCATCTCCAGTGTTGTCTCCTGCCCTTTTGCCTTAAGACGCTGCCATATATCAAGTGGGCACATGTGTGCTGCTTTTGTGTATGGCTGATTGTATCATCTTGACTGTGCTCCCTCGGGACAAGTGTCAATCACAGGCTGCTCAGATCAATCACATCTCCCCTGTACAGCATATTGATTTTCCTTTGGGCGTCATGGAACTGTGCAGCAGCGTCGTTTCAGGAGTTCGAAGGGTTTACTGACTGGAATTGATAGAAATCAGTCTATAGTGACAGCTGCCGAAGGGGTCCGTCTTGGCAACAAACAAAATACAGCAAAGAGGAACTAATTCTGGGGTGCACAGCTAAATGAGTCATCGTGGCGATAATGGACGTTTTGTAGATATAGATCAAAACAGCACATAAAGAAACAACAAAAACTGTCTATATTGACCCCACAATCTTTTAATTTTTCCAGGAACTCCAGAACTGAGCCCTCCTGATCGTAAAGACTTAGAGACCAAGTTAAAAGAACGTGAGGAGTTTCTGTTGCCAATCTATCACCAAGTGGCAGTGCAGTTTGCTGATCTTCATGACACCCCTGGACGAATGCAGGAAAAGGGTGTCATCACGGTGAGAATGTGCTTATTTTATTCTGTTTAAGACCAGCATGTACATGTCTTCTCTTAGGTGTTAAAACCTTGGTACAATAGTGGTGGGACATGCGAGTGTCCAAAAAAGCCACAGGGCAGCATTAGTCTAGCGGCGACTACACCTGCGCAGTGAATAATGTTTTGTCTCAGCAGGCTGCGACATTCGTCCTCATAATTATCTTCTGATGACCCTGGTCAGTCATCTTAGCAACCACAGTGTTGCCCGAGGCAGCCCCACATCCCTCTGCCATCTCTCACACACAAACACACACTCACACAGCAGATGGATGGCATTCCGGTCAGCATGAACTGTAAGGAGTGCTTTAAAGGCATTTTCGCCAATGGCTTCAAGTTTGAATTTGATAACATATCCTGAACATTTTAAACAATTCACCAAAATGTTAATATTGTCAAAAGAGGTACAAAATGTAGGCTTGAAAAAAAGATTCTATTATGTAAAAGATGTGAATCCTACATAATCAATGCTGCACATGGAAGTGTATGGATTGGCTTAAATGTGACAGTGTTTACCAGAACACTTTCTCTTTCTCTTTCTCTCCTCTTTTAAATTCTTTGTCTTGCTTGTTGACTTATTGTTCGTACTTTTACTGTGTTTGTGTGTTTCTTACCTGCCTTAGGACAATGGATGCAATTTAGCTATTGTGCTATTTCCAGCATATGTTGACGCTGTTTGCAGACACATTGATGAATATGTACTGTCCTAAATTCAAATAAATAAATAAAATAAACACAGCACATTGCACATGAAGTAAATACTAATCATTCCATTGAAGTCATTATTTTCTATTTATTAGTTATCATTATACAGTATATATACTTTTGTCCTTATGAAATGTGAGCATAAACCAGTATTGTACCTAAAATTCATGCACCTGATTTACTTTTTTTACCATCAATACCTGTGGCCAGTCTTTGGAAACTGACCTCTTAATAACATTCAACCAACACCATCACTACTTAACGTCACACTCTACTAACTTTAAATGGACCTTCGAGCTCGAACGAGAGGTGTACTTTGCATTTACATTTCAATAACAGATGTGCCATGTTTTCATGTATCTTCAGGATATACTTGAATGGCAGACCTCGCGTCAGTTCTTCTATTGGCGTTTGCGTCGGTTGTTGCTGGAGGACACGGTGAAAAGAAAAATCCAAGTGGCCAACACAGAGCTGACGGATGGACAAATCCAGGCCATGCTGCGTCGCTGGTTTGTGGAGGCTGAGGGGGCTGTGAAGGTAGGTGCCATTTTCACAACTTCCATGAGGCACTTTTTCGATCTACCTATTGGTGTTACATCCAAAGTTTGTATACAGAGACAAAGTGTAAAATCCAGAAAGAAAAAAACCCCACAAAAACAAAAGATTTCCTGTGTTTCTTGAACTGTTTATCCTCAAAGCCTCAAGCCCACATCCCTATGAAAGCGCCTGGATTAAGTCCCGATGAAGAGATAAGTGTAGGTAAATGAAACAATCCAGGCTCAAGAGAAACTCCCACTTCCTCCAGGCTCCGTTTTGAGGTTCAGTGGAGCAGCCCCAGAGTTGACACACACCAGCCGCCATCCTCACGTCTCCTCAGAACTGGCCTTCTTGTTAGCTCATACATTACCCCAATCAGGAGCTGCTGTCTTAAGCCACAATTAATCACAACTCTGGCACGTGCTGATAGGAGAGCAACACGCTGTTTCTTAATTAAATGCAAACAGATTAAAAATGATTAATAAGGGCATTAAATGTTCTTGTGGACCTCAAGCAGGACTGTTCATAAAAAAAAAGCCAAGAGCCCATTAAACCCTCCGCCCTCAAATCTTTTCTAAGCCCTCAAGCCGTGCTTTGTTTGGAATCAGAGATGCCGGCACTCATGAATACTAATTTTACCACAAGCTGACAAGGCCACTGAACTGCAAAGGTCCGTCACCCCGGTGTGGATGATACTCACTGTATAAACAAACAAATGGATTTCGTACACTCGTATTGTAAGGGAAAAGTTCTGTGCCGTAATGTGGCTTTGCAATATAATAAACTTGATATGAAATTTCTTAGACAACTTTATTTTTATTGAAAGTGTTGTAGTGTTTTCTATATCCGTATTGAGAGATTCACAATGAGATGTATGTCTAGGCATATCAATGGGACAACAATGAAGACGTGGTGATTTGGCTGGAGAAACACCTGGCTGAAGAAGAGGGCGCCCGCTCCATCATCGACGAGAACATCAAGTACATCCGCAGAGATCATATTCTCAAACAGATCCGCAGGTAATGTCGTCTATTCGAACCACTGCAAAAAACAATGTCAAACAAACACAATATTGGTTTACACATTTAACCTTAGTCGGATACATTTATTCATTTTAAGTGCTTCTGTAATTTCAGAAATTCTTCTTTTACTACTTCTACTATCAGTTCTACTAATACTGCTCCCACAACGTTTATAACTACTACTACCACTACTACAGCAGACAGTGTAGACAAAACTGGAAGTCTGATTGCAAGGCGAGTGTCTCATATTTGAAAAAGCGTAGATAAATGTGTTTGTAAAAGTAGTAGTCATATAGATTAGTTATACGCACACACACACACACACAGTAGACGATTCTGAAGACACACATATTCCTAAATGGACGTTGCGGATCCCTTGTACTAAAACCATAATTATTGTTCCTCCTCAGTCTTGTCCAGGCCAATCCCGAGGTTGCCATGGATTCCATCGTTCACATGACTCAGCACATCTCCCCGACCCAAAGAGCCGAAGTGGTGCGCATCCTGTCCACCATGGAGTCCGCCTCATCTTAAGTGTGAGAAGAAAGAAAAAAGAACATTTCCCCCCCCCCGCGTCATTCCTTCTGGACTGGTTTTGCTCAAGACCGTCCCGTACGTGTAGCTATAATATTCGTCTGAGCGCGGAGGAGCCAACACGAAGTCCTGGTTTTTTTCCTGGTTTACTAATGAAATGTTGGCTGTGATCCCAAAATCACATAAACAGACTTGAACCTGATGTTTTTTGTTTTTTCTAGCATATTGTAACTTTCAGATAATTGCCTTCACACCACTGAAACTCAAGTATTCATAGTTTATTCAGCTTAATATTGTAAGAATGAAAAACATCGGCGAATTTTCTATCTGTCGTCTTACCTGAGAGTAAAAATGCGTACGCTTCTTCTTTCTAGGGAAAATATATTCTGTTCGGTTAATTGTTGCAGATTGCTTTGGTTTTTGACATACGCTTGGCTCCTGACTGGCAAGTGTTTTGATGACCGACAAATTGACAAAAGACAACACATTTTCCCCGGGGCGTTTGGAATGTAAAGGGAATTTAACAATCAAGCAGGGAGGACTTAGTTACTGAACAAAGACAAGGAACACTATAATGGAGTTGGACAAGACAGCCCAGCGGGGCGTAGGGCAGCGGTCCTTTTTTTAGGCCCGGCCCGTGTGGAGATTTCCCCACGGTGAGCCATGGGCAGCGCGCCACACAACAAAACCACAGCTGCCCCTTCTGTTCACACTGAAAAGCGTTCACATATGCTGCACTTTAATGTTCCTGCACACTACTCCTCACTCACGCATCTGATGAATAGTCATTAAGCGCACAAAAGTAGTAGTCGAAAAAAAGCAGACGATGCAACGTGAGGACTTATTTTTTTATTTAATTTATATTTGTGAATTTTGCCATCCACTATTTGATGCTGGGTGCCTAACCACAAAAAAATGAACTATAAAATCCAATCTGGAATTTTACTTCCACGCTATCAAAAGAGCATGGTTCAATTGCTAGTTTTCTCTTTCGTACATACAAATGTGCTATAAAAATGAGTTACAAGTATGCAAAAGATGTTTTCTAATTGGATTAATATATATATAAAAATATATAAATTTATGGGGCAAAAAGGTTAGGTACCCCAGCTTTAAGCCTCACTTACTTTCACAATTGTACCTGTATCTGTGTATCACATTATTTAAAAGATGTCTCCTGACTTTAGATGTGTTTTGGGTATATTTGTGGGTATATTTTCTGGTGTCAAGGCTGCGTGGAAAGAGATGTTACATGCATTCACATGAATCGAATTGTAAACGTAACATGCATTGTTCTATTTCCAATGCACATGCAAGGGTACTTATTTTTATAACTTTTCTAATTGCATTTTTCCTTTCCTTGAGTGACTAAGTGAAGAGTTAAAATGACTGTAATTCACATGTTTTTTAGGGTACATAATGGTACTGTGTGAATGCTTCCTTGTGCAGTGCCTTTTTCCAGTCCTGTTGATGTGTAACTGACAGAGCGTTTGTGTAGAATGAGAGTTACCGATAGTAACCTCAAAAGTGACCCCTTAATTAATGTGGCAAATGAAATAAATAATAAAGCCTAAAAGTATGTTCTGTCTTGTTGTATACTATCAAGCAAAACGTTAACACAATCTAGAGTGAATTATGCGTTTATTGTTCTGGCGACTTTTACTATTAATCCAAATATCTATACTTTCTAAATCTTAGCTACTTTAAAAACCTTTGCAGATGACATTACATAAAATAGTGTGAACTTCAAAGCGGCAGGAGAAATATGAAAATGTTCTAATGTTAATATGGGCTAATATAGGTTTTATCTATTATAGTGGGGGCGACAGTGGCTCAGTTGGTAGAGCACTGGTCTTTGGACCAAATGGTCATGGATTAGAGCCCACCACGACCTATGTCATCAGCTCTAATTGCCACCCCCCGACCCAGAAATTGACTAATAAAGGGGTAGAAAATGTAATGACATGACATTATTGTAGTATAATTTCTTATAGCTTCTCACATATATGGATAAGAAACCAACCTGATATCTCCACTGCTAAATACTCAAAAATTGTCATCTGCTAAGTTTTGAAAACTTTATAATATTGTACTCTCTAAAATTAGCATTCAAATGCATTAATAACCTGTCACCACCAGAAGTCACCACCAGAAGTTCCTCCCATAACAACTGTGCAATCCCACACAGGAGAACCACATTTGGTCAGTCTGCTTTCTACATGAAAATGGCCAAACTGTGGAACTCGCTGCCCACTGACCTGAAAAACATATCAGAATTTAAGGAGTTCTAGGCCTATTTTATTCATTTTGTTTAATTTGTTGCACTTTAGGGAAAAGCTCAACCAGGGACAGGAGATGAAAATTAGCATTAGCTATACACTTTGTATGTGGCGCATCAGCTGCATCTTTCATAATGTAACTATGTATGACTACATTGTCCCTGTCAAATAAATAAATTAATAAATATGGCAGATTGGCACTCTTCCCACCAGCCACCGCTCCGGACTGATGGCATAAGGATGGCTCAAATGTAGAAAATGTAAAGTAAAATGCCTGAGTAACTGGAAACAATTGTCTAAACGTTTCACAGCTAAACAAGTGCAAACTTACAAAAAGTACTCGGGGGGGAATGACTTTCTTAAAAATGTATATAAATAGTTGCTATACGCTACTATACTTTTTTTTCCATAAATAAATGCCTCAATAGAAAGAATCCTGTTAAAGTAAATTTACACAAAACCACACCATTCTGTCTACAGAGGGTGGTAGACCTCTGGCTGAGGGTGGTCTTCTCATTTTCAATGTTCTGTCTGAAAAAGCGCATCTAAAGATGTGACCAATGCAACAAAATATATGCATGATAAAACATAAAATAATAATGAGTTATGTGCTTGGAAAGAACCAAAGACTAATACTTTTGCCACCTCCACAAATCCAGAATTCAATCTTAACATTGGCAGCTTTCCTGTAGCTAGATTTTAATATTCTTGGAAATGTTCTCCAAACTATTTGAGATCCTATTCAACCATTAATTTCCATGCACTGATGATCTCAGGGACAGATATACGCATAACTGGCAACCTCATTAATTTCAAAAGTCTTTTTTTTTTACTCAAGGGATTTGGGTTTGCTACGATTCCTAAGTCTCACAATTCCTCAAGCACCGATGATTAAAGGCCTTGTATTTCTTCACTTAAACTCGTACCGCTTTAATGCGTCCGAGGCAGATCAAACAAATATTGAGGAATCAGTCATTTTCTTTCTTCTTTTATTTTGTTCTAATTCTTTCTTTTAATTCCCATGGCTTTGTCAACTCTATTACCATCCTACCAACAAATATGTAAGACAAATTGAGTTGCATGCACCCAATACCCACCACAATTATACGCAGCCCAGAATGAGAATGAGTCATTTGGTGGTATAATTGGAAGCCTGCTCTGTGTGCTGTCCCAAAGGCTTTTGCTCATTTGAGGTGGCGCACTAGGTCGGCTAATTCTTCTTTTAATCACTGACAAACTGCAGAATAATATTCCTCTTTGCATGGATGTCTTGTCATTCAGGAAGTTTACATAGGGACAACAATGTACAAGCAAATATGTGTGATACATCAGAATTCTGTACAGTTAAATTAACCAAGGAAACAAAACATGAAGAGAAAAATTATAGTAAAACTGACGTACAAACTCAGGTAAGATAATCTACTTGGTTTGCACACAATTATTCTAAAGCGCTCTGTGACTTTGTCGGTAGAAGTAAGTAAGTAATATTTATTTATACAGCGCTTTTCATAGACCAGAGTCACAAAGCGCTTTACAATTGTTGTGGGCATTTGTCTCTCACTCCACACAGAGATGCCCCCTCCAGTACACAGGAGGCGCATGTGCTAGACCTGTTATACATGTTTTTACTGGTAAGGGGGAAACCTGGAGCACATGGAGGAAACCTACACAGACACCAGGAGAATATGCAAACTTTGCACAGAAATGCCTGGACGTGGTTTTGAACCTCATTAAATAAAGATTACTTACTTGAGCGGCACGGTGGCTGAGTGGATAGCACTCTCGCCTCTCAGCAAGAAGGTCCTGGGTTCGAATCCCGGTTGGACCAGGGCTTTTCTGAGTGGAGTTTGCATGTTCTCCCCGTGTCTGCGTAGGTGTCCTCCGGGCCCTCCGGTTTCCCCTACCACTAAAAATATGTACAATAGGTCTGGCATGTGCCTCCTGTACTGGCACCCCCACTCCCAAAAATCACAATTGTAAACCGCTTTGAGACTCCCATGTGCAGTGAAAAGGCGGTATATAAATAAAGATTACTTACTTACTACTAAGTTTTTTTCTACAAGACCACAACGTTCTGTTTTTACCTCATTAGATTTTTTTTTTTACTGAGAGCTGACTGGCTGAGTGATTCACCGTAAAAGTTATTTCAATTTGTATGGTCCCCTTAACATTAACAAAGCAGACCCAAGAATATGAACTATATAAATAATATTGCCTCTGAGTAAGGGCTCATATATTGACTCTCTCTATACTGGCTCTGTGCTTGCATGTGTCCAGAATAAGAATCATATCTGTGGGTTTTCAGGTGGCAAAATCCAGTCCGAGTATTAGTATAGCACAGACACAATCATGCATCTGAGGCCGTCCATAATTCCATATTCACGCCCTCTGTGACTCGGCAACACTTGAGAGACAAAGACTTGACCCAGTTGCCGGGTCCCAATTTGTGTGCGCATGTGTGTGTGTGTATGTGTGTGTGAGTTGAAATGAGAGCAGGTTCCTGATCCTCTTGAAGCTCCTGAGCTGTCTGATTATCGCCTGAAAACAAGGCTCTTTTGTAACAAAGAGAAGGCACTGCACCAGGCCACAGCTGTTCCTCACGGCTCTGCATTCAAGACCCTGAAGAGGTCCTCGTCGTGCCCGTTCTCTGCATTTCCATCATAGTGAGAAGTCTATTGCTCTGTGAGATGGTCTACTTCTCACTTCGAGCGTCTGGAGGAG